AAAGGCAGTGGCGTATGACGGCGTGCAAAATGTTTCACCTGTTCTCGACGATCAGAACATTTTCAGCAAAGGGAAATAAGATATCCAATTTCGAATTCACCTCATGCATTCTCTGCCAATTTTGGATCTTTGCACTTTTACAGTAAAAGAATAGTTCCGGGCAGACTTATAATTTCTGCTTCTCTACTGCCCTATATATCCTGTGTTCATTTTATAATAAGGTAAATATAAATTTATAATCCAGCAATGGAAAGCAAATTAGCATACAAGTTAATGTGCTGAATTTTGAATCAAATCTTGCAAGAGTCAATATTTTTTTAATTATTAGTTCTCATAGTTTATCAACACCACAATTATCAGTGTCGTCACGAAATATCCCCTCCCCCCTTTTAGAAGTACAAATTTCTCAGTGCGCGTTCAGAACACGAGAAAATTCTCACATATAATTTTACAGGTTTGCACCGTTGCCATGTTTATAATCGTTAATTTGCGTACAATGATCATACATGTCCGCTGAATTTGAATATCCTTGAAGACAATCTGTCATTCACGAATGCTCTGCACATTAAATTGTTAACAAGTAATTGTCCTGAAGTACATTTTGTATTGAAACTTACCTCACGCTGATCTGATTATTGCTGTCTGCAGGGTACAGGGCAGCCAGATTTTTCCTCCATTCACTCGAGAAGATCACGAAGGCGTTAGGCGGCCTTGGTATTTTCGTGCACTTTGGTGTTTTCTTGCACTGTTTCGCCTTTCTCTTCTTTTGGAGGTTCTTTGGCTTCCCTGTAATTTGCAGCTGGTGGTGAGCCTGGTGCATGTTTTCATCTTGCTGTTTATGAGTATTGCCCATAGTGTGGTCTGTATTTCCTGAAAGAATGATGGAATCCATGTATAAGAACTAAAATAATCAGAATATGGCCAACAGTATATAAAGAAACATGGCTATCTCCAGTGTACCTGACCCTTTTTTAACTGAGTAGTTACAGATATATGAAGCGTAAGTAATAAAATACGCTGTGTTGACGTATCTGAACGTGGTTGTGTTAAAGAAGGGGTGAGGTTTCAGTAAAATCAGTATAACAGAGAATATGTGAATTGTGAATAAGAGACGCACAGTAATGTGTTTTCATCTTAACGAGGACATCGTTAAACAGCCTGGCTCTGATTGAGTCTTGCCAAAAGAGGGAAGGGTGTCTACCCTGGGGGACCCATCAGACAGAGCTCTTCCTCGTCACTAGTGACTGAGGCGCAAGAAATAAGATGGCTTCTGACACGTGGACACAAAATTAAGTATTCTTGGTCTCAACTCTCAGAGAGCAAAGTAAAAGTACATAATTCAACACTAGAAAATGATTCTTTCAAGTCCAGCAAATTTAGAATGTCTGAGAGTGACTATAATAAACAAAAATTGATTTTATTTGGAGAATTCTTATTACAATCCCTTTAACACTTTTTGTTTTCCCTTTGCTAAAATCACTTAAATTACTGCATGCACAGAATTAAACGACACTTACTGTCTGCTGCCAGCTTCCTGATCCTGTTTATCGGCATACAAGTGATCGTCATGTCTTCTATTTCAGTAGGGTTTACCTGAGGACAGACAAAAAATAAGTCATTTTACAGTCCAAGAATTCTCTGCATCTTCATGAAGCTAATATTTATTATGGGATTTTTGTCCCAGTCACACACAAATCGTGTGTGCCTTGGCCCTGCTATCGATTTTCGTTTCTCACAAAAGATATTAAGAAGACCTCACTTATACAAAGAGAAATTAAGGCTATGTCAGATAACGAGGGCTTCCTTTTTATGAATGATTTACCTTTAAAATTAGCATGTTAGGAAACGTTTCAAAGCTTTAAGTACAATATACAAGTCAGTTTATGATTAATCTGTAATACAAAACAACGATCCTGAGAAATTAAGCTGTTCACTCAACAATAACTTTCCTCTAGACGAAAAAATTAAGACTGAAAACAACCTTTAACAATGTCTGAATGTGACAAGTGACCCAGTCATAAGTCCCTATCAGCTGTTTAGCTTAGCCGTAATTCAAGTAACTTCGTTGATGTGGCCGGCGTGTGTTGCTGCTAGCATTTGAATTCTTAAAAATGGCATACAATCCCTCAAGATAACATAGACAATTAAAGTAAAGTAAAGCTGCCCCACTATACGCCATGTAGCTTGGGGGGGGGGAGTGGAGGTATAGCTCCTACTCATTCTTGACCTCAGCACTAGATGGGGGTGAGTGGTCAGCATCACGCCCCGGCCGGCTTTACCCCCGCGAAAGGACCACGGTACCCATTGGATACGAAGCGGGGTGGGCCCCAGAGCCGGTCTGGACGCAGAGGCTAGAGGAAAAAACCCGTGCAGCGGGTCTGGACGCAGAGGCTAGAGGAAAAATCCTCTGCCCCCGTCGGGGATCGAACCCCGGTCGCCCAGTCCGTAGCCGGCCACTGTACCGACTGAGCTACGCCGGCTCTAACACAGACAATTACAAATGCAAAATGAAATATTAATATTAATAATAAGTAGGAATCTCTTGTCTTACCAATTGTGAAGAGCAGGAGACCTCCATGTCCCAGGCAGAAAAATTTGAATAAAGAATTAAACGGAAAGATTGCAGGAAAGGTTTTCACTGAATATAAAAGAATCTTGTTTTAGAAACACTTTAACCACCACTTGTTCACAGCACCGTTCGTTGCAGACTGACGCCAGCTGTTTATACCAAAACAATGCTGACGTCATGTATGACGCAAAAGTTAGTAAAGAGCGTGCATAAGAAAAGAGAAGTGAACCTTATGGCATGCCAGTCGAGATTGTTGCAGGTGTTCGTACTTAATATGAACACCTACGTTTCGTATTTACACATTCTTTGTAGTTAAAGAAATACAAATTTTAATTACTACAAGTTATAATTTGGTTACATTCCATCCTAAACATACGAAGTCAATAATTAATATTAAATAGTTTCTCTGTAAAAGGAAATCAATTTAAAAGTAATGAAAAGAGGCTTGAAGTAAATTTTGCAATTTAATTTGCCCTTGTTTAAAAATAACTTCGTGTTTTATTATACTTGTTTAATTTTAAAGACGATTTTTGAGGGGCCCGGGCGCTGTTGAACCCATCGCCCCTGCGACAGGGAAAATGTTTCCTTCCTTCGAATCCCGATTATTCATATTGAATAGTGAGAGAACGCAGGAAGGTAAGAACTTTGGGAAAAGTGTCTTGAGTTCGATTTCCTTCAAGGGCGGTTCCTTTGGCGCCGAAACTAAGCGAGGCAGAAGAATGGCGCCAGAATCAGAGTTTTTTGCTTCGAAGAGGAGATTTCGGAAACGAAGGCCTCGACACTGAGTTCGACTCCCGACAAGGATGGTTTCTGTTGACAGGAACGTAAACGCGATAAAAGAATGACGCCAAGGCAAAATTCTTTCGTTTCAGAGAGGAAATTTTGGGGTCTAAAGTCACGGACACGAAAACAGTCCTCGGTTCGAGTCTCTTTTTAGGATGTTGGTTTCTGGGGTAATTTTACGGGCGTATTAAACGACGCAATTTAATGATGAGGCTTATAAGCTACTAGATGCTTCCTAATTAATCTGTTGATTTTGTGTGCTTATAGTAGACCATGTATTTTTATTTATTCATGGTTTATTTAACGACGCAAGTTTTTACCCCCAAGGCTTCCTTCTCTGTTTTGAGGTATTGGCGGACATTAGCCACGAGGGCTGAGGTGTACGTAGTTTGATGGGTAAATATGAGCTGCCAATACACTGTACAAGGTTGCACAAAATGTGTCCAAAATTGGAATGTGCAGTTCAAAATTATACCACCATATACACACATGACAGCAGCACTGTGGTATTTCCTGGTGGATTCCAATGAAGTCTGTGGGCCAGACGCTGGTAAGACTGGGAAAGACTTCAGAAATGTCTGACACACATAGGATCATAAATATATCAGAAATCAAACAGCTCACAAAATGCATTTGATAAAACTACCTACAAATCTGTGCACTGTAACTGTCACAGAAGTGTGGAACATCAATACCAAGCTTGTCTTGTTAGGTTGATCTAAGTCCTATGCTTCTTGGTTCCTATTTAGTATTTATTGGGTGTGCGATTTATCAAGTCCTTCACAGCCTTACAAGCGCCTTTTGACCTGACCAACTGGACCATTCCCTTGTACGACATTTAGAAGCACAAGCAACTTGCTTTGGTCTCTGGAGAATCAGTGTGCACATTCTATACCTAAATATCGTTTCAAGATTAAACTTCCTAATTCTAGGCAAAACTGCACTGATTATACGGTCAAAAGAATCTGGGAGTCTAAAAAAGTCAAATTTCTTAAATTGGGAGTAAAGTAGTTCATAATGCTACCAAAACCGGTTGAACTTCTTCAATTACCGAAAGATGGCACAACGAGTAAGAACGCTCCTCTGCTCATAGTACCAAGAGTACTCCACAGAGTGCATCCGCTACCGCACAATAGTATTGATTTTAGTTCTTCCTTTGCTCTGAGGTTAGGTTTCGCCTGCGTGAAAGAACGCTGTATGATACACAGAGTTCAAGACCACGAATGAAATGAGGCAGGGAAACAAAGATCATTTACGTCTGGTAAATATGATTTTACGCATTACTTTTACGAGCTCCATACGAACCTGTCCCTCTGATCCAGTAACCAAATCAGCCAACATTTTTTCACAGAATCTGGCGTGAACAGAATGCACTGGAAGCCTTTTTAAGGTGTAATTAGATTTGTGCCAGCCCAGCGGAATTCGGCATTCTAATTCACATAGAATTCACAATTTTCTTTATTAAAATTTCCAAGAGAAAAGAGATTCTGGAACGAACTGTGGGTTAATATAAGACACAAAATTGTCAAGTACAAATTGTAGGCATATATGAAAAATATAATTCTCACGTATCACGTTAAGGAGCAGATGAGCGTAAGAACAAGTCATTTGTCTTTTATTTTTGATTCCGCTTAGTCCAGCTTAGGTCGTTGCAAATATTCCGTCCCAGTCAGAGGACACGCACAAAACGTCGGCAATCGGCAATTGTTAGCCCCACGCCCAACACAGAAGTCGGAGAATCACCCCTTGTCGGCTGTCCGCGAATGCTTTTTCGAAACACTCCGTATCCGGCGGCCATAGTCGATCGTGATCCTGGTTTTATGTGAACTACGGGGCGAAGTTCCCGCCCTCTCTCTGCGTTCAGTCTATTTCTGGGGCCCACCTAGTCTGCTATCCCTTGACCACCGAGGGTAAAGCAGGTCGAAGCGTGAAGATGACGCTTGGGCACAGGAACAATTATCGCAACAACGAATTATCTGAGGCAGAATCGGAATCAACGCCACAAAATTCTCTTACGTAATGAAAGTAAAACCACGAAGTACTCAAGACAAAGCTGGAACGTTATCCAAGCGATAATCAGTTCGAATCTTGTACAACGACACAATCCCCACCTTGTCGAAGGCAACGTCTCTCAGGGACATACTGCCTCAATCTGAAAGTGAAAGCAGTGTTTTACGTGGAAACACTGAAATCCATCTATAAGCACACGACGTTGCAACCCTGAAGACTAACATTCACAACATGCAAGCGAAACTTTATTGAGTAATCTCATTAAAGAAATTATTACATTAAAATAGAAAACGAAAGTACATGACCAGAAGTTTGTTTTACGAAATTTTTAGGTTCAAAGCGTTCATTCCATGTACGGTAGACAGATTTCATACGCATTACACAACGCAATCTACTCACAGCCACGAAATTGGTGTATTGAAGAACGTGTTTACAAATACATTATATTCATGTATCAGAGGCATGGACAGTCTTGTTGTACGTAAAGAATAATTTTATTAAAGACAGAAGCTCTAAAGAGCAACGGTGACATGCGGCAATGTCACAGATTTTAAAAACAATAATCATATGCATCTTATTATTGAGGATTTGTTTATCTCTGACACGAACTTCCTATGATATATCCCTACCTGTTGGTTTTCTGTGACGTGATGTGTAATGTGGAGGCATTAATCCTCCACCCCACATAATCCCGGAGTTAAAGCACCATCCACTGTAAGTTGTTCATGACTGCTTATGTCGTATATTCGCATCTACTCTGCGCATGCGTAGGTTATCTCATCCATTAGCAACCAGAGGACGCACCGTATCTTGGTTCGCAAAAAAAAAGTATGTTCTTACACCTGGCCCCTGTGAACTAGCAACGTAACATGAAGACGTGTAGTTTTGTGGAGTTAAATCTCTGCGCATTCTAAGATCTCAGCATAAGATGTAGGAGACGCTTTAGAAGATCTACCTCGGAGGAAAAGTTCCCGGAAGGAAATTATGAATCCGATTACTATCTGTAATTGTTTTGCGAAGAAACCGGAAAGACAAACCGAGAATAAAGACATTTGCCGGAAATGCTGTTAACGATTCTCGTGTTTGTACGCTGCTGTTAAAACTAAACATTGCTCCAAGTCTGCTGTCGTAACAACAGACATTGTTTCCAGGGGCAAGTGTGTAGTCTAGATGCGTCTGTGCGGTAACCAAGACAAGTGCCATATTCATTTCGTATTATCACCGAAACGTG